ATGGATTCAAGGGATGCGTCCTTCTTTGAAGACATATTTCCTTGTCGAACCCGAGGAGAGGATCGAAGTTCTAAGAAAGACTTGAAGATGATCAAGTAGAAGATCAAGATGAGGATGTAGATGAGCCAAGAAGGAGTAAGAGTGCTAGGACTACTAAGTCCTTTGGTCCAAGCTTCTTGACTTATATGGTATAGAAAGAACCTCAAACTTTTCATAAAACTATGACTTCACCTAAAAGTCCCTTATGGAAATAAGAAATTAAGAGTAAAATTGACTCCATCTTACAGAACCATACATGGGAGTTGGTTGATCTATCCCTAGGCAGTAAGGCCTTGGGAAGTAAGTGGATCTTTATAAGAAAGATGAAAGCCAATGGGTCAATTGATAAATATAAAGCTAGGCTAGTTATCAAAGGATACAGGCAGAGAGAAGGCCTGGATTACTTTGATACGTATTCATCTGTGACGCATAGTGATTACGATAGCCGCTTTACAAGGTCTGGAGATACATTAAATGGATATAAAGATAGCTTCCTAAATGGAGATTTAGATGAAGAAATCTACATGGAACAACTTGAGGGGTTTTTAGCTCCAGGGAAAAATAAGAAAGTTTGTAAACTTGTCAAGTCATTATATAATTTGAAGCAAGCTCCTAAGCAATGGCATGAGAAGTTTGACAACACTATATTTTCAAATGGATTTAGAATCAATGAGTGTGACAAGTGCGTATATGTTAAAGACATTGACAGAGGTTATGTCATTTTGTGTCTATATGTAGATGACATACTCATTGTTGGTAGTAATAATAAAATGATCCAAACTACCAAGAGATTGTTAAACTCTATGTTTGACATGAAAGATATGCGCCTTGCAGATATAATTCTGGGTGTTAAGATTACCAGAACATCTGATAGTATTGTACTTTCTTATTCTCACTATGTTGAGAAGATACTTGAGAAATTTGGTAAATCAGATACAAGTGTGTCTAGGACACCGGTAGACGTAAGTCTACATTTGACCAAGAATAATGGTGAGAGTGTTTCTCAACTAAAATATTCTTGAGTCATTGGAAGTTTGATGTATCTGATGAGCTGTACAAGGCCGGATATAGCCTACTCTATTAGCAAGCTTAGTAGATACACAAGTAATCCGAATGCTACTCATTGGAGGGCATTATGCAGGTGTTAGGTTATCTACGCTACACCCGGGTTATAGGCTGCATTATACTAGATACCTAGCAGTACTAGAAGGGTATAGTGATGCTAATTGGATATCTAATATAAAAGACTCTAAATCCACTAGTGGTTATGTGTTTACCCTCGGAGGGGCAGCCGTATCTTGGAAATCTTTCAAGAAAACGTGTATATCGAGGTCAGCAATGGAATCTGAGTTTATTGCTTTGGATAAAGCAACTGAGGAAGCTGAATGGCTTCGCCAGTTCATTGAGGATATTTTACGTTGGTCCAAACCTGTGCCAGCTATCTATATTCATTGTGACAGCCAATCAACAATTGAATCGGCATAGAGTAATATGTATAATGGAAAGTCTAGACATATTCGTCGTAGACATAATGCCATACGACAACTACTCTCGAACGGAGTTGTCACTTTAGACTATGTAAAGTCTCAGGACAACATTGCGGATCCGCTAACCAAAAGGTTAAATCGAGTGTTAGTAGAGAAGTCATCAGAAAGAATGTGGTTAAGGCCTTTAGTGTAAGGTGTTACCAGAATGGAAACCCAACCTAGTTGACTGGAGATCCCAAGATCTAGGTTCAATTGGACAACCTAATTTCATGAAACGATGGTATGTCGCTGAGGACATTAAACCTCCAACAATTCCTTTTATCAGTGATACCTGCAAGTGTAGAGATTATGCTAAGCTTTTAATGACTAGTGTGTTAAGTTGTTGAGCTGAGTATAGCAGGATACTCAAGTAAAGTCACCTATGCGATTGTGAAGTGGGGCTGCTTCTATAAGAATTGACAAGGCCATACTAGTGTTACAGGGCCAAACCAGACACAACAGTGAGAACAAATCGATGGTTGGAGTAATTCTTATGTGAGGTCTATTGTATTGGTTTACATAAATAGCGGAACAATTCAACACTTCGTGTTCACTGGACAGTCAGTAAATCCAATAGACTTCACTATGAGGGGTTCAAAGGCAAAAGCTACCTTTTTCGATACCGGGGTTATTCTGTTGCACTCTCTCCGAGTCTTTGTTGTTAAGCGTTGTCCGTTTGTTATTATTCGGTCAATTTTTATTCATATGGGAGATTGTTGGAAAAATAATAGTTTTTTGGTGACTTTAATGCAATATTAAAGTGAGTGTCAATCCTCAATTGAAGTGGAGTAAAGTGAGTTTAGATTCTTTGTAATGAAATCTTTGCACCACAAAAAGCATGACCAAAAATCATTAAGGTTTGAATGAGAAATTGACTCATTAAGTTAGCCTTATGAAAGAGGTGTTGGGAAATGTGTAAAACCGTGTATCCCACATTGATTGTAAAGGAGGGTATTGATGGGAATTTAAATCTCATTTTTTCCATAAGGACGTAAGCCCTTTGGGGCACCTAAATTTTTCCGAAGGAAGGGAGTTAGGGATGATTCAAGGATGGACTTGAGCCAAGACTATGGTCCAAGTTAGTTATGCAAAAATTGCCACACGAGCATGCGCCCACGCACTGCCTGAACCGGATCGGGTCGAGTCTGAGACCGGGGTCCGTGATCTGTGGGTCGTAGATCATGGATCTTGGGACATGGGGCTTAGGCTTAGGCTTAGGCTTAGGCTTAGGCTTGAGGCTTTACTGGAATGGATTGAATGTGGAGGTTGGGCTTGGCCCACCTATCTTAATCTTTTTGGACCAAGCTAGATTTGTGGGCTGCAGGAATATATACACAAAACTTAGGTGTATAATAGAGCTAGTAACTCCTCTACATGATGAATTTAATCCATCAATTTTGCAGATTAATACAGAATTAAATCCTACATCTGTTGTAGGGGAGCCTCTTCCTCTCTCCCTCCATGTGTATAAAAGGAGGCCCTCTCCTTCAACTTTCTACACCAGAAATTGCTGCTCTTCCTGTCTTCATAAGGTTTCTAGTTTTATATTATTTTCTTCCTATGAGAGAGTGCTACAAAGTTTTGTTCGTCGAAACTACTCAGTCGGTGCATTGCTGTGGCTAGTCCAACTGTCGCATCTTGGGAGACAGACGGTGAGACAGCAAATCTATTTTAAGGACATTGTCTAGTGCAGGTTTCGGTTTGCTTTCCTTCGTTATTTTATTTTATGATGTATTGTAATTTTCAGCATTGATTGCTTGTTCTGAAATTTCAATTGACCATTATAAATTTATTTGTTTTATGTTATGATACAATTTATACAACTTATGCCCAAATCATTAAGATGGGTTTTAATTCTTATAATGCAGTTTGTAATGCAATGATTACTATGTATGCTAGAGGTGGAAATATGAATTTTGCCTTGATGGAATTTTCTTTCATGCCCAGTCATGATGTCAGGATGAGAAATTCTATAATATGTGGTAGGCGAGATTGCAAGGAAAAAGGTGACGGAGTTAGAGCCTTTTTATTTTGGTGTCTATATGGATTTAAATGAAATTTTCATTCTCACGGGGTCATCTGGGAGGTCGATCAGGAGGTCGTTCATTCAATGTAAAATTTTCACAAAATTTTGTCTTGAGTTGGTCATCTAGAAGGATATTCGGTGGTGAAAATACAGCGATTAAAAACAGTGATTTAAGGAAAGGTACAAAGCAATCTTCAATTTAGTAAAATATTTGTTATTCTCTTAATTTAATATAAGGGGTGTTTTGGGAAGTTGGTAAAAAGCTGGCTTTTAGCTTTTTATCAAGTTTTTTTGCTTTTTTGGAAGTGATTTGAAAAGTTAGTAAAAAACTGACTTTTTTAATTTTTGGTTTAATATTTTTTAAAAGTGTCACATCACTCCAAAATGACCAAAATATCCTTACTTTTTGATTTTTAAATTAATTAATTAAAATATCCCAAAAAATAGTTTAGTAAATTTGGATGTTGCTTTTTTGGTTCTTGCCAAATGGGATGATTGGCGTTTTTGGACTGGTTGACGTTTTTGAGCTGCTCCCAAGACGCAACTTTTTTAGACACTTCCCAAAACGACACTAAATCTAACAAAACCACTATAATACAAAAATATATATATATTTTACTATCAAATTTAAATTTAATAATAGATTTAGAGCATCTCCAACGGTTACTCAGATTTTTCACCAAATTTGAGTAAAAAATGACTCATTTTACCAATTTGATACCACTTGCTCCAACGGTATACTTTCATCAAATTTGTGCCAGGGACAACCGGTTGGTCGACCGGTTGGTCGACCGGTTAAGCGAAAAAATTTTTTTTTTTTTTTTTTTTTTTTGAACTTTTTGAACCTTTTAGTGGTCGACCGGCTGGTCGACCGGTTAGGCAAAAAAAAAATTTTTTTTTTTTTTTTTTTACTGTTTGAACCTTTTTCTTCGAACCGTTTGAACCTTTAGGCGGTCAACCGGTTGGTCAACCGGCCGGGCAACCGGTTGGTCTCTCCCAACAGTTAGGAACAGTGATTTGGTAAAATGCTTCGCCTGTTCTCATTTTGGTACAAGATTTGCTGAATTCTGAATTTGATATCGATTTGGTGAAACCGTTAAAGCTCAAAAAAGTAACTTTTTCATCAAATTTTGAATTTAATATCAGATTTGCTGAAGCGTTGGAGATGGTCTTAGTACATGGTTAGACATGGCCTCAACTACACTTCAGCTTACACTAGTGGAAAGTGCCACATCCACATTCCAAAACCTCGGTCCGCCCGCCAACTTTCAATGGTTTTTTTACTTCAATTTTCGTATGGCCGGCGACCATTTCACTACAAAACTTTCAATTTTTAAAAATTACAAATATAAAATAAAAAAAAAATTACACCCACCAATCAATTGAATACCACCATTCACATAAACCAAGCAATACAAATTCATTATAAAACTTTGTTTTTTACTAGCAATTAAATTAACAAGAAAGCTAAAACTACAAGCAAAAAACTCGGTGAAGTCCTCATCATCTTCGGTTGCATTGCGTATGTTCTATTTTGTCTTTGTTTGTTTATTCACAGCCACCACCAAATTATATACCCGTCTCTGTTATTGATGAGGGAGCTACCAACCCAACTCCTAAACCAACTTCTTATTCCCTTCTTGTTTTGTAATTTGACCACCCGCCCATTTTCTCTCTCATTCTCTACACTCGCTTTCCTTCCTCATTTTTGAAGAAACTCAAGTGATTTCAATGGTGCAACCTTTCATCAATCCAAACTTGTAAGTACATATATAGTTGTAAAGTATCTTCGTATTGTAATTTGATTTTGGTTTCTGGATACTTGTGAACATGAGAATATTGGGTTTGGGTTTACAGGGAAGAGTAGGGAGAGACTACGGTTGTGGAATTCGAGAGAGAGAGAGATGGACGGTGTTGATCGAATGATCAGGCGGAAGTCTCTGAAAGAACTGCTAGGATTAAAGGATATGGGCTGTTGTGGGGCCACCTGGGTTTTCAGGCCATCGTCGTCGACAATAACCGTTAGAGACGATGAAGACCCACAACAACAAGAAGAAGTAGAGTGGATCGATGTGGGCCAGATTCCGCTGGCGGAGAACGCTTCCGATCAGGACTGTGTGGGTCAGATTCCGGCGATGAACTTGGCGACAGCGTTGGCAGCCGAACGCCACTACCGGGCGGCCCAAGATTCGGACGATGATGGCAGTGGGCTGAGCCCATTGAGGCCCACTAACAACCTGCCCAGTAACGTAACTGCAGGAACTGCACCGGGAACACCGTTGAGAGTATCGTTGATGAGATTGCTGGCTGAAACGGACGGTGTGGATGGGGGGAGAGAAACGACAGAAGAACAGGATGGGAAGGGAGGAGTGGGGTGTGATTCCACGTGCTGCGTGTGTATGGGAAGAAAAAAGGGTGCAGCGTTGATACCATGTGGTCATACTTTTTGTAGGGTGTGTTCGAGGGAGCTGTGGTTGATTCGAGGCTCTTGTCCCCTCTGCAACCGTTCGATCCTCGAGATTCTCAATATATTCTAATTTGATTGTGATGTGCGTCCCTGATTTGCTTTCATTGGACGGTTGTTTGGGGATTGTTATGGTCGTGCAAAAAAATACAATAATCTCATCACAATTCAATATTTCAATATTTTGTCCATAATATTTTGTCTTGCAGGTTGTTAGATTATGATTGTTTAAATGTATTTTTTTTCTTTTTTCTTTTTTTTTTGGATAATATATAATTTTGGGCAAATTACACTAATAATCTTTATAGTGTAGGGCTTGTGTCACTTTAGCTCTTAACTTTTCAATTGTGACACATTAGACCCTGAATTTTAAATTTTATTTCAAATAAGAATAATGGAACATACCATTGCTTAATTTCAAAGGTAAAATTGTCAATTTGATAAAATATAAACTAATTTGACAAAAATAAATGTCAAAAAAATATTTTAAAATTTTTAAAAAACTATTTCTACCCACCAAAAATAAAATTAAGTAAAATTGATAAAAATTACATGATTAATTTTTAAAAATTAATTTACATAATCATCATCCAAATACATAATAAAAATTAATTTGTAAAAAAAATAAATAAATGTCGAAAAAATTTATCAATTTTATATAATTTTATATTTAGTAGTTAGAAATAATTTTTAAAAATTTAAAAATGTTTTGTGACATTTATTTTTGTCAAATTATTTATATTTTGTCAAATTGATAATTTTGCCCTTGAAAAATCCAATAGTGTCTACAATTGTCCTTATTTGAAATAAAATTTAAAATTCATGGTCAAATGTGTCACAATTAAAAAGTCAATGATCAAAATGACACAAATCCTGAACTATAAGAATCATTAGTGTAATTCACTCTATAATTTTTTTATTAACACAACATAATTTTGTTTTGGGAGTTCGGGATCGAATCAATTACAAAATTTTGAAAAACATAATATATAGCAGTCGTCCAAAAATGTTATGAATTATCGAAATTTTTATCAACTATTCATGTTGGTAGAATCAAGTGATTATTGGTAGGACAAAGTAGATGGCCTAATTATTTTTATAGCTATTTTTATTTTTAGGGATGTAATCGGTTTGGTATGATCCTTATTTAGGTAAAAAAAATTACACTGAATTGATAATGTCAGTTTTGTTATTTTGAATACAAATACAGACTGTTTCTCTCATCAAACTGCACCGAACTAAATCGATTAAAACAATTCCGTTTGGTGCAGTTTAATCGATTTAGTATTTTTCAAATTTAAGCCACTTTTAAATATAATCATTAATCAATATTAAAACATTAAATTAGTTATTTGTCTACTCTTTCAAACATATCCAATCCATTTATTTAATACTTACTTTTCAATTCCTAATTTAACAAAAATAAAAACAAAAAAAATTAAAATACTAAGGTTTCAAGAATAATGAATTAAATTTAAGATTATATATAATAAGAATTTACAAACTTAGGTTATAAAGATGATAAGGTTAATTAATTATGGTTAATATTCTATTATACTTATTAATATCATTATATTATTAGATTATATATATATATATAATATATGTTAAAGTAGTCGGTTTCGATTTAGATCGGTGCACAAAATGCTTAAACTGATACTGAATTGAAAATAATTAAAAAAAATCAAATTTAAAAATTGCACAGACCAATTTTTGTTCAAAAAACAAATTAAAAATAAGCGGTTTAGTCCGATTCAATCAATTTGATCAATTTTTTCGATTTTTTTACATTCCTAACTATTTTTAATGATTTTTGGAATACAAATCGAATCCCCCCCTCTCTAAAATTCCCAATCTAAACTTAATGAATAAGTGGCCCAATCAAAAATATAAATTCGTAAAAAAAAGGCCCATTTGAATTTTAAAAGTTCAAAATTATGTTTAATACAAATCCAAATTGAATGAAAAAGGCCCAACCAATCTATAATAAGTGTAAGTAATTTGAGGCCCAACCAATTTATAATACCTGTGGTTGTTCTTCGTGCGTCAAGATCCTCTGGAGTAGAAATTCTGCAGTGATCTCCTAAAGTAAACAATCTAACGGCTGAAAATAAATCTCACCAAAACGACGTCGTTTTGGTGAGTAATTTCAAAAAAAAAAAAAAAAAATTCAACTTTAATTCAAAACATCAAGGCGTTCCTGTAAATATGAAGCATAAGAGAGAGAGAGAGAGAGAGAGAAGGGTAGAGAGGAGGAGCAGGACATCGCCGCCCCGCCCCGCCCCTTCCCACCCCCGACGAGCCACCGCCGCCGCCGCTGCAGCGCCGCTATATTCTGATAATTTCTTTTGGAATTTCGGGGTTTATCAGGTATCATGTTCCCAGATCTTGGTTGAACCCGACACAAAATTTGTTGGTAATTTTTGAAGAACTAGGCGGGGATGCATCAAAGATCTCACTGGTGCAAAGAACAAAATGATGGAAGGAACCACAAAAGGAGAAGAATCCAAAAAACTTCCCACTGTAATTATATTTTATGATATGGTAAGATTTGAAGCAGAAAGAAGACAAAAATCCAACACTTCTAAGTCGATGGTCATTCAATGCCAAGCAACGGAATCGGGTCTGGTTGCAACACCTACCATTCACTATTAGGTGGGGCAATATGAATCTGTTGAGTGCTATTAGGTAGTAGAAAGCTTGCTATGTTTTGTATCAAGGTTCAAACGGTGGGCTCTGTAATAAATTGTGAAATGGTCAGTCAAAAATTAACATATTTGATCATTCTTCACGACAAAAAATAAAACATTGGATGGGTTCTAGGATTATTTAGATGATTGTGGTGTAAATTTGTGTGCTTACACTTAGACTAATATCCGTATTCAATATCAATACTCATGCGTTCTCTTGTTCTTATCAAGTGAGTTTCAAATAGAACTTAATCAAAAATAGAGTTCTTTTTTTGTTTACAATCTGAAGAATGAAGATAAAATGAGTCACCCGTGGCAACGGCGGCAGCGTGTCTGGGGTGGGAAGGGGCGGGGCGGGGCGGCGATGTCCTGCTCCTCCTCTCTACCCTTCTCTCTCTCTCTCTCTCTCTCTCATGCTTCATATTTACAGGAACGCCTTGATGTTTTGAATTAAAGTTGTTTTTTTTTTTTTTTTTGAAATTACTCACCAAAACGACGTCGTTTTGGTGAGGTTTATTTTCAACCGTAGGATTGTTTACTTTAGGAGATCACTGTAGGATTTCTACCCAGAGGATCCTGACGCGTTCTTCGTTAGCTCTCAGCCCTGGAGATAAGCTACACAGAGTCACCCAAATACTAATTGAAGTTGAAAGAATGAGATATTCGACTCCACATTATCATCTTTTCTCAACCTTCATCCATCACAAACAGTGATGGTAATTTCTTTTCCTCTTTATTTTATGTACTTAGTGATTTTTATGAAACTATTCATCTAAGCAAAATTAGTTATATATTTAAGCAAAATTTAATAGATTTTTTTGTGAGTATCATTTTTTTTAATAGGTATGAAATGTCTCATATTTGGTGCTCACTTTAAACCTCAAAAAACTCAGAGCGGACACTGACCATGGTTTGGTTCGGTTTGATTTGGTTTTGAAGTAAACTTAGACCAAATCATTATTTATGGTTCTATGAAATTTAGAACCAATCTCAAATATAAAAATCTTAAAATCAAATCAAACCAAATCATGAAAATATAGTTTGATTTGTAACCATCGTTTCTATTAATGTTGTTATTGTTCACAGTATGATTACAACATATTTAAACGCTAAATATCATTTTACAATTTCTTTGATTGATTGTTTAAAACTGGTTTGTCATTATGCAATAGCACAGTTGCAAACAAATAGGGTTAACAACTTACAAATATCAATGCGATATTAATAAAAAAACTTGAGTGTTCATAATAAATAATAGATTTTATATATATATATATATTAACACGATCCGGTTTGATTTCAAATTGAAACCATAATTATAAAATCACAATTAAATCATCAAGTATGATTTACTTATTTTAATAAAATCAAAATTAAACCGTTATATATGCAAAAGTCTAAAAGTACCAATACCATAAGTAGCCATGCTTTCTTACGTTATAACCAAGTCAGCACTCACCAAAGCTTCGTATCTGTGTTCTAATTTGGCACATCATTCATTTCCAAAATTTGGTAGCATTGGGTGATATGAGCTTATGTCGGAATCCGTTTTGATAATTTGAACCGTTCACATTTTAGAGCACCTCGAGTAAAACATATTTGTAAAAAATTAAGTTAATCGGAATTTGTATCTTCAAAAATAAATGACATTGTGATTTAAAGTATTAAAATGAATACAAATGTAAGTTGATGAAAGGGTTAATGATATTCGATTAACTTAATTTTTTACAGGTATATTTTACTCAAAGTACTCTAAAATGTGAACAGTTTGGATTATCAAAATGGACTTCGAAATAAGCCCCTCAGGCCGCACAGCAGTGCCTGCTGTCCAATTGGGTGTGATTCAATAAAATTTTGTGGAAACATGAAAAATATAACAATACCATTTTTTTGATGCAATTTATTGGGTCGTTAGAGCATTTCTATCGTAGCCTTCAAAAATTAATGTCAATTTTTTAAAGTTTAAGTAGTAATTTGATATATTTAAATTTGACATAGATATATATATATATATATACATGTATAAATCCAATATGTCAAATTTGTTACTTTATTATTTTATACTTTACTCTTTTATTTTAGGGACAATTACAAAAAAAAAACAAAAAAAACAAAAAAAACAAAAAACAAAAAACAAACAAACGAACAAACAAACTCAAAGGTTTGAGTCTTGTAACAAAATAAATATTGAGTTTTAATATTTTTGATTTGTATTCAATATAAACTATTTGTTTGTTTTTATTAAGTAAAATCGATAAAACAAAAATAGATATTTTAGTCATTAAACTCAATAAAAAGTGTATTTCATTTATGTATATTTACATTGATATGAAAGATATGGGATTTGCAGATGTGATTCTGAGTATTAAGATTACTAGAACATCTAGTAGTATTGTGCTTTCTCAATCTCATTATGTTGATAAAATACTTGAGAAATCTAGTAAATCAGATACAAATGTGTCAAAGACACTAGTAGACTTGAGTTTATATTTGGCCAAGAATAATGGTGAAAGTGTATTTCAACTAGAATA